TGGAACTGAAGGTTCTGTTACTTAATTGCTAAAAATGCTCCTCTTTGTGCAAATGAAAGTTCTCGGACCTTTCTTGGAAACTAGAAAAAATAAAAGATTGAGAACAGCTAGAGTTGTCCTTAGAGCATAGTTTTGACCTGGAAGTCAAATGATGACGTATATTTTACTGTCCGTTCCTGAGTTAATATATCTTTTGAATACATGTGTTTTATTTACTTAGCTTAATCATCCTTGACAAATATTCGTTAAGTTTAAAGTAAGCTGACAGATACATATGACTATTTTTTTCCCCTTCTTTCTTCAGAGATCTTCTAAACCACCTTTGAAATGGAAGCTGAGAGATCCAGCACCTCCATTTGCCCTAAAGAGTATTACGTAAGGGCATTTAAAATCTCCTTGCAGTTTAAGAAGAATTCAGACACATCCATTTCTTTGGCCTAATCACCATGTGGAAAGTGCTCTTATTCTTTACCATCAACCAAATCTGAAGTTATTCCAATATGAAATAAATTCACAAATCATTTCCCAGTTTATTCTTTAGCACTTCAGCCCAGTATCTGAACTTACATAGTCTCTCATTGCTGTCTCACTTTCTTTTGAAAAAAAAAATGTTTTTTTTTTTTTAATAAAAAGCAACTTTCAAAATCTGTATAGCTGTGTAAGACTGAATCTTGGTTGCTGAACATTCAGGGTATGAAATACAAAAAGGCAGAAAAAGAAAGAAGCTTAGTCTGTGCTATGAAACCACAAAAAAGTTTCAGTGTTGTCTAGACGATACCTCAGATAACCCATTATGTATAATCCTGTACAGATGGAAATATAAGTGCTCTTTCATCAGCTTGAAATCCAATCAGTATCCATCATTTCCAAGGAGATAAAGTTGCTGGTTTTAATGGCCTAATTCACTTTCCAAAAAAGCCTAATGTCCCAGCAGAAGCAGGAATCTATGGTGGATGGCTTTGGCCACTAATGACTCCATTAGTTAGGATAACTCATCCTCCATGTCTGAAGCTTCAGGCTGCATGGACTTTCCCTCATATCTGACAATATGATCCACACATAAGAAGTTCTATTTTCTTATTTACTTACCATTACGCTTATCTTCATCTGTAACCAGGATAGTCTTTTGCCTCCAACTTTATGTCAAGCTACATGACAGATAATAATAGTTGACCTAATACTGGATGATAAAACTATTTAACTATTTGAAAAACAAATCCAAAGAGTTTTTTAAAAAAAGGTTGATAAAGCGTGAAAGCAGCACCACATTTTTCACACTTGTACATTTTTAAAAAGAAGATAAGAATGATACACTACATTCAGGGAAGACATGTCATAAGGCAAAGTTTTCTTGCTTCTGTTTCTTTTCTTTCTTGAGCTTTTCCTTTTTCCTCCCTGCTACTCAATTATGCTTATCACTCCTCAGGTTGCTTTGGTGTAGAAAGGATGACCCAGTATCACAGCTATCAACAACAGACGGAAAAAGATGGAAAAGAAAGAAATACAGCCTCTCTGCATGGGTGTTAGATCAGAGAGATACTATCAGTTCCATCTTTTCCCTGTGCACATGGTGGTATATGGTAAATAGAAGGCCTAAGGTACCTTAAAAATAATAACAAGAAATGCTTCCCTTTCATATTTCACCCAGTCTTTTTCTGCTTCTTGAAGATGTGGCTAGGGAGGCCACTTACTATAAATTACAACAAGCATCAGTTAGTTTTCAAGCCTGTTTCCGAACAAACGTACTGGCCTCAGTAATGTAGTAACACCCTCAGTTCGCTTGTCCAGCAATTACAAGAACTCTTGAGTTTGCTTCAGAATATAGGACTACCGTCTCATTAAGTCTAGCAGCCCTTTCTGCACTGGTTGCAGTGTTTACCCTGATACCTTCCCCAAGATTGGGCACACAACGCACCCTGAGACACACGTTGCCTGCAAAAACCTCCTGGGAGAGCCTTTAACTATTTACAACTCTGTAAAGCAAAAGTCCATCTGGAGAGCTCAGCACTGTCACCAAAAGCTAGAGATCACTGTACTAGTAGCGTGAATAGAAAAGCAGTGTACCAGAGCACAAAGGAAAATTGTAATGGCATATCTTCACCTCAGAATATTTTCAATAAAAGATTCCGGAAGGTTTCCAAACTTTTTTTTCCCCTATTAAAACTGCTACCCAACTTTTGCCCTATACCAGGTCTGAGTAACGACATTAGGGGTATCCGCTAAGAGCGGGCGGACTCAGAAACTGCCCTCCCACTGCCTTGGGTGCACACTTGCCTCTGTGGTGCACAGCAGAAGGCAAACACAAACCCATCTAACTGCTCTGCTTTGCACTGACCGCTTCCAAAACCTCTTGCTTTGCCCTGGGAGAGAAGATAAATAAATAATTATGGAGGAAAATGTAATAATGCTCCGCGGTTGCTTCACACCAATAAAATCCGAAGCAATGAGTAAACATTTCACGGATAGGGGAAGAATGTTGTTTGTACAATGACGACCCTTCATTACAGTGCCTTTATTTCTATTATGCCAAAAGATGTTGGCAAAATTAATTAAAATGTCTCACTTTTGTTTTATATACAGATTACCTTATACATGTTCTAATTTTGGTCTATCTAAATGAACTTGATAAGTTGAAAATATTATTCCTCCTTTCTGAAGCTGAGCTCAGTGTGTAACACAGGGGCATTTCAAAGAAAAATATAACGATTTATGTGTTAAGAAGTAAAGCAGACAGCTTATTTTTTAAAAAAATGAGTTCCTGCTTCCTAGATTGCTCTCATGAAATTGATTACTACAACGTAGATTCTTTCACAAAGTACAAAGCTATATTATAAAATGTGCCTGCACACTTTTACAAGTACATGTGTTATAACTGTCCCAGGCCACCTTAAATAGTGTCAAATTTTTCTCAAAGACAAAAAAAAATGACAGTATATTTTATACATGATACTTTAGAGTATCTTAAGAGATTATTATAATTTCTTCTAAAGACATCAATATTGCATTTAAAAGAGCTGAGATATTAAAGAACAGTTGACTTCCTAATCAGTCACTGAATATTCTAGATCCTAAGTAAAGCTAGACTGATTCCTAAGAATTAGCCCATACGGTATGAAAGAGAGAATGATGACAACATTAAACACTTCTGTGGCTATACATTATTCTTTTTTGATTATTATTTATAGGTAGCTATTAAAAATACTCATCCATGACTAGCTAGTTCCTATGAGTTTGTTTGATGACAGCTTTGTTCTGAGGTATAAATGCACATTTGCTAATTTACTTATTTTTGTTGCTATATGTCTGCAGCTAGATTTATTCCAAAAAGGATAGGTTGTTCTTGGTTTGTCAAGCTTGATTCAGATTTTAGTGTGCACTGGTTTTGCAAACCTTTATTTTTTCAGCAGTAATCCATTTGTACCACTGACTTGAGTCAAGTGAGAGCCCGATGGAAACCATGCTCATTTGCAGTTTTACCAGGATATATGATAGCTGTTGTTAACAAACAAAGCATCAATTTCACTTAATCTAATTAGTGTTGAGATTTACATACATTTATATATATATAGTAACACTTACCACAGAAGACCAAGAATCTGAGTACATCCATCGAGGCACCGAGAATTCTTTCTTTTCTTTTCTTTTCCCCCTCCTTTCCTCTCTCTCCCCCTCCTCCCTTTTTTTTAATTCAAATCAGTCACTTCAAAAAACAAAGTTGGAACAATGCCTCAAATTACACACATACTTGGAAGGAGGAGTTTTGTTTCAGAAGATTAATATCATAAAATCATCCCTGCACCAAGTAATAAACTTATTAAGTTCACTTAAAGAAGAACATGACTGCTATCTTTAATGCAGAAAGAGACAGACTACATTTATGAATGCCATAAAAATAAACTATTTTAATACATACATAAATAAAAGGTTTAAAGTAGATTTTTTTCCCCAAATCATAAAGATGGTCTAGCCTCTGTACAGAAACTGAACAATATACACGACTACTAAATTAAATAATCATTTTGTTACATTCAAAATAACTGGAGGCAAATACACAACAAAATGATGTACCTGAATCATTCTCCTTTCCTCATCCTGTCTACAGTATTTTCTTCCTTGTTTTACGGCACTCTGAGGATCTAGACTGTTAAATAAAACTCTCTGAATGATAGAGTTGAAGCAAAATTAATAATGAAAGGCAAAAAAAATCCAACCCTAGCACCCAAAGGGCTGCCTTGCATCACCCACTAATTAATGTTTTAAAGTAAGAGAACTGTGCTGTAACTGGAAGACTACCGTGCTATAAAATAAATTACACCTTTTATGTACTGTACTATAGTTATCTTAAAGTGTTTAAGTATTACATTCACTTTGGTGATGTGCTTTTGTCTTTGACTATAATAAATTATTCAAGGCATGTGCTAGCTGTTCATGTGTGCTGAATAACAGCTTTCTGGTTTTACTGGAAGTGAGAGAAGCTTAGCACATCTAGGGAATTGAAAAAAAAAAAGTTCTGATTTATATAAGAGAGACAGTCTAATTCAAAGCAGCTTTCTTCCTACCAGGCTATGCCACTGCCCTCCCTCTCAGCCCCCAACACACACACTTAAACACACACACACACCCACACCCAAAAAAAGTTAGTTTGATGGCTTTTGTTTTTGCTGTGCTGTATGAAAACTGGTGACTAACACTCTGAACGATAGAATTAGTCAAGCTTTGTTTTTCCTTTCTCCCTATGAATGATGTGTCTATTTGAGAACATCTACCGTTAACTTCTTCACTGTCTTCAAAAATTCAGACTAATCTAGGCATGAAAATACCCCACCATTTGTCCATCAAAAATGGGATTACTGAAGTTCAGCGTTATCCCCACTGTTCTTTGGAATGTAGTCCTGGTGGCTGAGCACCACTAATCCTCCAGAGGAGAAAGTTTGTCATGTGTGTCTGCATACACTCAAGGCAGTCTCTCAAGACTTCTTGTGCAGGTGGAATTTGAGAACAAAGGAGGAGATGAGAGCTTTCATCCATAGTGCAGAGCTGGCATTTCCAGCACGTTCTGTCAGAAGTTCAAGAAGGCCGAGCCAAGCTGACTTAGACTTGGCAAAAGAACGTGCTTACGTTTATCCACCATCAAGATGTGTGCGGCAACGAAAAGTTTGCCCTTTTTTCCTATTTGCTTTTTTCTTGTTCTTATTCTTTTGTTTATTTGCACCTTTATTTTTATCTCCTTTCTTTTTCTTTTCATCCTCCTTAAACCACGGACCCCAAACTCCTCCGTTGAGCTTGGGGTTACTCCGCGGGTCTTTAGGTGGATACCGAACAGGAACGGCAGTCTTATTGAACTGCGAGAGTCTCCGCAGCAACTCCTTCACGACATCTGGATACCTTGCAGAAAGGTCCACCCGTTCGTAGGGGTCAGCAGTTATGTTGAAAAGCCACACAGTTTTGCCAGCTGACCAAGAAACGCGTTCGTTATGCCAGCGATTAGGGCCTGCATTGCTAAAAGCCTGAGGGGGTACCCAGTCACTATAGCCAGGATTTCCTGTCAGTAGTTTCCAGTGGTTCACTCGGATGGCTGACTGGATTGCTGTGTTCCAGATCCCATAGCCTGCTGCCCACGACCCATTTTTGGCTTTGGTATAAATGGGGTCGATATTGTGCAAGATGTCTACCCGCGGAGAACGTCTGCCTTCGCTAATGGTTTCCCAAATATCGTAGCCATCCAGCTGCATATCTTCATCAATCTGCCCTTCTGCCAGAGTGATCAAAGTAGGGAACCAGTCTGTGATGTGCACAAGCTCCTTGCACACAGAGCCTTTGTTTTTCAGAAGCGGACTATGGACAAAACCAACAGCACGGATTCCTCCTTCCCAATAGGTGCCTTTGCTTCCTCTGAGAGGCCAGTTACTTCCTCCAGCTGTTGGCTGCCCACCATTATCTGAAGAGTATATGATTATGCTATTGTCATAGTAACCATACTTCTTTAAAGCAAGAGTTACGTTGTTTATGGCTTCATCCAAACAAGCCAGCATGGCAGCATATCTTCTCCTGTTTATGTTATTTATTGATCGATAATGTTCAAAATACTTGCCTGGTGCCTGAAGAGGGGAATGGACAGCTTGGTAAGCAATGTATAAGAATATAGGTTTCCTGGGGTTGTGAGAAGCTAAGATTTGTTGTACTTTCTGCGTGTACATCTGTGTTGAGTAGATGCCATTGTCATGATCCCAAGCTGCGTTGTCGTTCTCATATAGGTCATAGCCACATATCCCAGGGCTGTCACATTTGAAATGAGTGTAATAATCACCACTGCCTAAGAGCGAGCCAAAAAAAGTATCAAATCCTCTCTGTGTGGGCATGCACTCTTTGCGATAAAACCCCAAGTGCCACTTGCCAACCATGTGGGTTGAGTAACCAACCTCTTTCAGCTTCTGAGGTAGCGTCACATTATCCAGGGGTAAACAGTTGGGCTGGGTGGGCCTTATGATAGAATGCTGAAGTCCTGTGTGTATCTGGTACCTGGAGGCAGAGAGGAGACAAACAGAGGTCAGGCAAGGAGGAAAAGAAACTCACCCATGAACACCTACGTGCATCCCTGCAGCGGAAAACATTCCTGCACGTGGAGTGATTTTTACTATGTAAATGACAAAGACTGACGCGGTTGGACTACAGCATTTGCTGAAATGAGAGAATGACATCTGTTTCACTTTAGAAGCATTTAAAAAGTGGTTCCCCAAAGCTCTCTGGCCTCTGGGCAACAATACGGAACAAGTAACATGACACAGCAGCATCATATCCTCCTGCTGGCCTCATTTTTAACTTTTTAATTTCCTTTTAGCCCTGAGCAATATGAGATCTCGGAGGCAACGTGCTGCCTGTGAACCATCAGTTGCAGACTACTGTTTTAGAGGTAACAGTCAGACTCACAGACCTCTCTGGCATCCCTTACGCAAACGACCAAACGGAGAACACCAACAGCTGCACTGCTTTTTCCCAAGCAGGAACCTATGGTACGAACTAGTGCTCCCGAGTTTTGACCTGGGAGCAGCTCCTGCAGCACACGCAGCACTGAAGCCCTGGCGATTGCTGCTTCGGGGTCCTCCATCAGCAGTGCGCAACATGGGCCATTACTTAGAAGAGATATTACTAATATTATAATAACTGAATCAGCTGCCAGCATGCTCATTACGGAGCCTGGCTCTGCTCCCCCCTGGAGTCTGGAATACTTACACTTCCACACTCTGGCATTTATCTCCTTAGCAAGAGGCCCAAATATACCCGCACTGCCAATATTGTGGCCAAAACATGCAAGAGATGTTTCTTAGCAGTCACTCTAAAGCAAAGCATAATTTCATCATTAGGTCTCTTGTTCAGCAGTCATTTTCTGTCCTAAGTTGTCAAAGAAATGTTACTTCTACAAACTGAGAGTTAGTCAAAATGTTTTTATACGTAAGGTCATAACTTTTTAAGGTAGCTTGCTTTCCTCTGCAACAAGTTTTCACATGCTCCCATTTTGCAATGATTATCAAAAATTAGGTTGATTAATATGATTTTTACAATGCCTCATAACTTGCTAGTGGTAAACATATCTATAGCATATAAAGATACTGGACTTTGAACATGTAATAGCAGTATATTAAAAGGATATGATAATAAATTCTGAAATATAGTCAGTGTGTAAAGAATACATATGGCATCCATATGACTAGAAAATGAATTCAGTATGGGCAGTAGTAAGTATCAAAAAAAAAAAAGCCAGGAGATCAGTTAGATGCTAAAAATAAAATATAACAGCACTTTGTAACCTGAGGAAGGCTTTTCTCTAAGTAAAAGAATAGATTAAATTCTCAGTCATAAGTAAAATTGCTAGGTATGTCACTATGAAGCTTCTTTAAAAATCTTTTATTATTTTTTGGTAGTAGGAGCTTGGAGGTCTTTGCATGCTTTGCTAATATTCCAAATCTGATTAGCTTCCTGAGCTATCTAGAAAATGAAAAACTCTAGGGTCTGCAGGTCCAGAAACAACTTAAAACCTGCTTTCATATGATGCCTTCCCAGCCAAAATCTTGGAAGGCAACAGAGCTGCCTTTAACGCCTGCCAATCTGTAACAATTGCGTAAGTTCCATTTTACTCTCGAATTTGTTTTCGCAGAACCAGAAGCTCCAGCCTGGCTCACGCACCGCAGCAGCCCGTGGGGTCGCAGTGCCGCTCGCAGCGAGCGCCGGCGCTGCCCCTGTCCCGCGCCCGCCGGCGCTCTCCCGGGAGCGCCGCTCCTCCCTGCTCCCCGCGCGGGGGCTGCAGCCCGGCCACACAACTGTCCCAGATACACAAGCGGGCGCCGAGGCAGGAGATGCTGCAGCAGTTGGAGCACGCTCTTAAAATCCTGCCTCCTCCTGCAGTTTTAGTAGAATAGCTCCTGCCTACTTAAACCTTCAAAGTTTCCTCTGTCTTGACAGAGGACAGAGCAGGACCACAGCACAGTCGGCCCATGCCTCCCTGAGAAGCCAACTTTGCTGAAAGTCCCAACTTTCTCTAAAGTAATGGAAGTAATTATTATTATTATTATTTTTTAAAACCAGAGACACCTCCATCCTTCTCCTTGATGCTGAAGCCGGACCTAGGGGTGAATGGCCAACAGCCTGGGGGGACAGCCAACAGGCCACGTCTTCCACACTGATTTGCCTCTTGGCAAAGCTATGCGCCAGGTAAAATACTCATACACAGACAATTTCACACAGACAATTCCTAAACAATACTCAGCTTCCCTAGCTAGGGCTTTTCAATCATATACCCAAGCATGAAATTCCTATGATGTAAACCTGACAAATATTTAACCAACCAATATCAAGACTTAGCCTCAGTTATATATGTTCTTAAGAAACTACCTGGTATACAGCAAGGCATCCTATTTGAGCAATCCCCTCAGGAGATTATTTCATATGCTGGCTACAATACACATGTAAGCATATCGTCCTGCTTCGATTCCGGTCTGCTCTCCGTTGTCATGCACCCTGGGTACGTTTCGTATATACGTGTATAATCTGCAGCTCTTCATGGCAAGGCTGCACTTTGAAACACACATCAATGCACACGTAGACATACTTATGCATGTGCATACTTATATACATAAAAAGAGATCTGCAAAATAATTGGTTCTAAGGAAAAAATATTACAACCATTGAAAAGTTGCAAAGAAATATCAACCTAAAATTATTTTTTTTTTTTTTACTACTAGAAAAAAAGGACAGTTTTGCTCATTTTTCTGTGCTGCATGCCTTCCTAACTGATACAGTATGTACCAACACTGCATTTTCAGTGCATGCCTATTATTTTAAAAGGATGTTCAGACCACTGATAGAAGCACAAAGGAATTGAGCAAAAGACAGTGAGTATATGTTGTTAACAGCAATGGGCAAAGTGGCTCAATGCTGCCACTTTGAAACTGCGTTAAGACCGTGCGGAAAAACAAAAAATGAAAACAAGCTAAAACAATAGGTAATTGTGAGACAGATGCCAATTTGGGAGAAGTTGTCTAGAAGACAAACTTACGAGCTCACTATCTGCCATGAAATTTCTGTAACACACATTCTAGAGATTTCATGGCTTTCACTGCAAATGTTGCTAATTCTTCAGAATAAATTGGTTGAATTTAGTCCCAAATGCAGAAAGCAAATTATGATGATGAATCATCTGGAATTTGTTATTATAATTACACCATTAGTAAGCAATTAAATATAAGTAAATACTGACAGGCCACAGCATCTAAATTCTAAATGCCTCAAATTTGAAAAATGCCCACAGCTCTTATGGCACAGGAAGGTAACCAAAATTTGTCTGAAATGCTCAGTTAATAATATGCAACTGAAAAGTATAAACAATTATTTTCATTTATTGCAGACTACACATGGATGGCTCTTCACTGAGCATC